TTTTTATATTCTGCAAAGATAAAAACTATCGAATTTTTCCATGATGTTTACAGAGAAACGTCACAGCTGCCAACCCCCCCACCCCCAAACGAACATATGACGTTTCTCGTGGAAAAAATCGATATGTGAGGCTTCCCTAAGCAAAGTTATTTCCATGAGAGAATTTGGAATCATTTTATTTCGAACTCAAAGTTTATCGATAAAGGCAGTTTAGTTCTATAGTAAAAGAACATTTTAAAACGTTTTGCGAAGCGTTTGTTGTTGAATTTTACCTTAAATTCACGCTTATATTACGTATAATAACATACCTAACATATATATGTTTAGCAAATTGATAATTTTGTAATTAAAAGTGATATTTATAGGGGATTTTTTATTTGTAAAAACATTCTTAAAAAATTATCGTGTTACCATGACAACTACTTAAAATACTTCACGTTAAAATGGTTTTGTCAGCAAGGCGAGGGTTTCTGCATGCATGTATTTTCTAGTATTAAATCTTATCTGAAACAGTTGGAGGGAGTACAACTGTCCGGGCCCTTTGAGAGCCAGAGGCAGCTAAAAAATGTAACTATACAGGCCCTCTAGCAGGAATCCAGCCTACGGCCTTGAGATTCCGTTGCAGCTCTCTAACATTGTCAGGGACTTGCATTCCAAAATTTAATCTATGATAATTAACCCATGGATGATGCCCACAATTTCGACAATAAACCAAATAGCTACTACCACCACTGTTAGTCATCTACCTTCTACTCCCATTACATGTATACATGAAAGTATGGTAATGCCCTGAAACTACCGAATTCTGTAGCTCAACTGGTTAGAGCGTTGCAACGGAATCGCAAGGCGGCAAGTTTGATTCATGCGAGAGGGTCTGTATAGTTGCGTTTTATGGATTTGACCAATTAAAAAATTGGTTATGCATTTAACCAATAATTTACAATTGGTTATGGGATTTGACCAATTAAAAATTGGTTATAGAGATGACCAATTATTTAAGTTGGTTATGCATATGACCAATTTTAAATTGATTGGGGATATGATCAATTTTTATTGGTTATTTTGCGTAATTGAATATTGACTGCATGATCAACGGAAATTGATTAGATTTACCATTTAAATTGGTTAAAAATTCAACCAATTATGTATTGGTCAAAATGACCAATATTTAATTGGTTGTGTCAGACTAACCAATGTCTCAATTGGTTAAAATGACCAATTCAAATTGATTGCAACCAATATAAATTGGTCTTTGTAACCAATTTGTTTTTACTGCGCATGTGCTTAGGTCTAAGAGGGTGTACAAATTTATGTTCGAAAATTCTGTCTACAAAAAATTCCCATGTACTATTAAGAATCTGTTGGCCAGTCCGACTCTATAGTATATGGATCACCTTAGGGATCGAACTGCTCAATAGACATCATCCGTAGTCCTAGTCAGGGCCTTTTTTAACTATATACGTGGGGGGGCCAAGGACCCCCCACCCCCTCCTTTGGCCCCCCCACTGATGGGTTTTGGTCCCCCCACTAAATTGTCATGTTGTTACTTTAGCACATAGCATAAAATAAAAATGCATGCACTACTCTGGGCAGTGGGCAAGGACAGTTAAATTTCCTACCATTTAAATAATAACAGAATAATACAGTTTTATTCAGATCAGTGGTCTATTCCTTATATTTGTGTAAAACGAAGTACACGTACATGAATCAGTTCATAACGCAGGCGCATTGTAATTGACCTGGTTGTTTTTCGAAATTTGCTTTTTTAAATTGCTTTCATAACATTTTTTGGGATTTCATTTTCTACAAAACATATTAAAATATTGTCAATATGTGATTGAGAATGTCTAATGCAACAAAACGAAAGGCAGAAAATGAAAAAATTCTGCAAAAGGAAGCAAATACATGCAAAAGGATAACTTCATTTTTCTCCAAAGCCACTGGAGAATGCAATCAATCTCATATACCCAACTGGGTACCGAACTCAGAGAACGTTCAAGAGGCTGATATATCCGAATGGGTTCCAAGCTCAGAGGACGTCCAGGAAGAGTTTACATCGGATAGCCCTATGGGCGCTGAAAGTCTAAGCACTTGCGACCAGTTTCAAGACAAGGACAGTGTCGGTAATTGTACAACTGTAAACTCTGACACTTCGACCATTTCGAGTGTAGCCCCAGAGAGTAGTTTAGGACCTATGGAGTCTATGAGAGAGTAGTTTAGGACCTAGGAATAGCCTATGAAGTTTAATTTTAACCAAATAAGATAAAATGTTCAATCCATTCATATTGTCATTCTATTGATGAGGTTACACATCATATACAATCTCTTAGCCTTAGGCTTAATCCTAATTTACTATCATTGTATAGGTTGAAAGAGTTCATATTTTGTAAAGATTAAGATTTAAGCATGTTTTGCTAAATATTGTCAGCTCCTCGCTGTTAACAATATATTACACAAAAAACAGTGCGTTGATGAGGGAAAAATTTAACTAATGATAACTGATCGTATCATTTTAAAAATATTTTTCATTCAATAACAAACACAGAAACTGTCCCACTATTACTGGTCCCTTCGGTCGTAACCGAAAGGTCCCTTCTGTACAAAGGCCCCCCCACGAGCAATTTCTTAAAAAAGGCCCTGACACTGTTCGGTCTAGAGATATATATTTTCTCGTAGGTTTAATATTGCCACGCTGCACAAGCGGCAAGCGTGCTTTCTTTGGCAAGTCTATAATGAAATCTGATCCAACTTGCTTGAATTGTAACTCGACACCAGATTATAGAGTAGAACGTCACGATATAAATATTAATTTAAGAGTTCTCTTTACGATTTCTTGTTGCAAATTTACAGTAAATTTCATCACCCAAAGTTGCAATTTTAAAACGCTACAAACACGCTCCTTTCCCACCCCTCTCACAGTTACAATTAAATTTACCTCCCAGAATCTGGGAGGCACGTGACCAGCCGTAGCCTGCGAACAGGCTCTCAAGCTGAATTGAGAGCCTGCATCGATGACTAATGAATTTGAATATCTGCCCCGTAACGTTCGTTTTTCCAAATATGGAATGTCTATCCTTATATGGTGTTGTTTACAACTTTCGTGCAAACTAAATTTAGACCGTGCAAACTAAATTTAGACCGTATAGTTTATACTGTTTTTCGAAATATAAGATATTCAAGCAAAAGTTCAAATGTTTAAATACTGTTTTCTCAAAACAGAACATTTCGTGCTTTGAGACAAGACGGACAAGACCAATTTGATCAGTTAATGTGTTTTTTTTTTATGCATAGTGCTTCAGCAGTTGACATATATAGAGCTCAGCGGGAACATATATATTATAGCATCTGACCAATGAGAATTTCGCGTCACGATTTGAGACGCAGATATTCAAATTCATTAGTCATCGATGCAGGCTCTCAATTCAGCTTGAGAGCATGTTCGCAGGCTAGACCAGCCGCAGCCAGGGTCTCTCCCAGATGACAGGAGGAGAGACCCTGGGAACGAGGTTGGCAAAATGGATGCCAACATCCTCGTTCCCAGGGCTTCTCGGCTGCCTGCGTTGGCAGGCAGCCGAGAAGCCCTGGGAACGAGGATGGGATGCCAATCGAATCTAACGTGACGTAGGTGATGCATTTTGCTTCAACTGCAACCTCGTACCCAGGGCTTCTGCGCTTATTGCTCCCAGAAGCCCTGGGATAATCCAAACCGGAACACCATAAAAGATTGGTGCCCCCGGAAGCGGAAGTAAGCAGTAACTTCAACGCTGACTTGGCATATTTTTACGCAAGGAGTGAGAATGCATTATTTGTTGCAATTTATAATAAATTTGGACTTGTAAAGACGTCGTAAACTGCTTCTCGCGTGGCTTTTGGAATTTAAAGTCAGGAATGATCAATTTAGAGATACAATTATGGGTAAAATAAGCCCTTTGGCGAGCAAAAGAACATCTTATATCGCGACAAAAGCATACATCATACATACATACATCAACTTTATTTAAACACGGAAAATCATCAGTATAGTTATTTACAAAAATATTAAAATATTTTAAAAGGAGCAAAAAGAAATATAGATACTGTTCTACCTGATTGCCGTGTGGGAGTCAGATCGATTATTTATTAAGAAGGCTTCTAAACCTGTCTTAAATGCAGCGAGAGAGGTTACTGATCTAAGAGATTCTGGCAGGCCATTCCATAAAGAGGCTCCACTGTAACTGAAGGAGCGTTTCAAATAATCTGTGCGTGGTTTTGGGATATAAAGTTTACCATAAGAATCTCTCAGGTTATAAACACTCTCACTGGGAGAAAACATCTCTTGTAAATAGAATGGTGTATGTTTATTAATAGTATTAAACATGAGGATTGCCTTTTGCTTTAATCGCTTAGTGGACAATGATTCCCAATTAAGTTCTCCAAGAAGAGAACTTGATGAAATATCATAAGATGAACGGGTAATAACACGGGCGGCCCTATTCTGTAATTTTTGTAATTTTTCGCTTTGCTTTTTACCTAGGCCATCCCAAACAGGGGCACAATAGGAAAAATAGGGCTCCACCAAACTTTAGTAAACTCGAATTGCAGTTTCTGTGGTAATAAAATCTCTCATTCGTTTGAGAGCGCCGATACCCGAAGAGACTTTTTTGGTGATATTATCAACATGATATTTCCAAGTCAAGTTCTCATCAATTGTTAAACCTAATGACTTAGACTTCAGCACTCTATTAATCTGTTTATTGTTAACACATACTTCCACATTCTGATTATCAAAGGTTGAAAGTCTTTGACGAGATCCAATAATCATAAATTCAGTCTTGGCAATATTTAAACTTAACTTATTTGCCTCTAGCCATGTGTTTAAATTGGCTATTTCAGCATTCATAAGATTTTCAAGCTTAGAAAGATTATTACTTTGCATGCTGATGTTCGTATCATCAGCATACATTCTAGGTAAACCCTCGTTCAAGCAGTTAGGCAAGTCATTGATATAGATCAAAAACAGAAGTGGGCCTATAATAGAGCCTTGCGGAACTCCATGGGAGATAGAACGACTACCAGAGAGTTTGCCATTTACGTAGCATTTCTGTTTTCGATTGTTTAAATAGGAATTAAACCACGATAGCGCATTGTCATCCACACCAAAACACTTGAGTTTACGTATAAGAATTTCGTGATCAATTGTATCGAAAGCTTTCTTGAGGTCAATGAAGATCACTCCGTTAAGAAAACCCTTATCAATATTTACGCACCAGTTATTAGTCGACTCTAATAAAGCTGTAACGGTACTATATGATGCTCGAAACCCTGACTGATAGTTCGACAGTAAGTTGTTACTTGTCAGATAGGAGTAAAATTGGTCATAAACGGTTCTACCAAAAACTTTGGCAACCGCCGATATAATTGAAATTGGACGATAATTACTTAGATCACATTTTTCGCCATTTTTGAATAACGGTAAGACTTTTGCCATTTTCCAATCAGTCGGATAAATCCTCATAGAAAGCGATCTATTAAAAATTCTGGTTAACGAGGGGGAAAGAATATCAGCGGCTATTTTCAATAATCTACCTGGGATTTTATCAGGGCCGGTCGCTTTGTTAGCATTAATCGTTTTTAGCAAACAATTTACAGTGGACAAACCAATTTCCTCGAAAGAAAAAACACTATGAGTGGATTGAATATAAGAAACGGGATTAACATTCGAGCTAGGTATTTTGTTCGCAAGTTTCTCTCCTATCGAGGTGAAATATGAATTAAAGGCATCCGAAATTTCAGCCGCATTAGTGATTTCATTACCGTCAAGATTGACTTTCTTGACACTGGTTACAACACTCACTTTACGAGAGTTCAGATCGTTGACTAGTCTCCAAGTTTTCCTTGGATCTTTTCGTGCAGCCTCAATATTAGTGATAAAGTAGTTATGTTTAGCCTGCCTAATAGTGTTGTTAGTTTCATTTCGAGCTTTCTTATATTGTAACCAAATTTCATCGTCACGTGTAATATCGAATTGCCTTTTTAGATAATCTCTTTCGCGAATTTTCTGAACTACATGTGAAGTAATCCAGGGAGACTTTCGTTTCCCTATACGTTTCTTTTTAAGTGGGGCATGTTTATCAATCACAAACATAAACAAATTCAACCATTCAGTCCACATATCATTAGGGTCGTTATGCAGAGAAGCCTGCTCCCAATTTAGATTATTTAAATCATTCAAATATGCATGTTCATTGAAGTTTCTGAAATTTCTCTTTTCAACAAAAGTATTTACCGGTGCCTTATGATATGTACATTTCCGAATAAGGTATACCAGAGAATGATCACTTATACCAAGAGAAAGAACACCGGAAGCTTTTACTTTATCAAGATTATTGGTAATACATAGATCGATTAATGTTTGTGAGGTATTAGTTATTCTTGTAGGTTCAGAAATTGCCTGTGAAAGATTGTAAATATCAAATATATTCAAAAGCTCAGACGTGTTGGAATTTGGTGTGTTTGACAATAGGTTACAATTCAAATCTCCAAGTAAATACAGTTCGGAATTCTCAGCATCTATCTTATCGATAATTTCCTCGAATGAAGTAAACAATTGTTGGGACGAGCTTGGAGGTCTATACCAAGTACCCACCAAGAACGGCTTTGAACGAGGATTAGAAATTTCGATTATTAGGATTTCAAGATCATTACATGCCAGATCTTCACGAATTCGAAAGTTTAGATTACTTCGTATATACATACAAACACCACCACCATTTCTACCATTAACCTTACGGTCTAGCCTAAAAACATCATAGCCTGAAAGATGGATTTCACTGTTGCCGATGGACGAATCTAACTAGCTTAGTTTCATTTATACATAATATATCGATTTTACTATTGTCCATAAAGATTCTTAAATCATCAATGTGAGCTAACAAACTATTTATATTTAGACAAGCAATTGCAAGACCATGGCTGAATAATCTAGTATATGGGGCTTCGGTATTAGAAATACGAGATGCGGATAAAGAATTAACTGACTCTCTTACGGCAATTTCCTAACAGGAATTAATGTACTTAGAAATGTTCTTTGCTACAATAGAAGTTCCTTTACGATTAAGGTGCAATC